CTGGTCGCAACCCGAATTGGTTGCAACCCGAAGCAAATTATTCTTGCCAAGCCTGCTCTGCATTTTCTTTGGAGCCATGCTGAAAAGCACACCAAAAACCTTCCAAAACACCACAAAACACACCACAAGCCTCACCAAACGTCTCCTTGCTACCGCGATCTCGCCCACAGGAAGCCGCGACCGCGTGTCAGCAGGGAAAATGGGCGCGTATCCTGTTCGTACCCCGAGGCGGAGTTTGCAAACCGAAGCAAAATTTTGTGACCGGAGCTGGTCGTAACCCAAAAAGTTCGTTAACAGAAGCGTTCGTAACCCGAGGTTCCACTGTACTACTATCATTATTTCACTTTATATCCCATTTTCTACCCATAGGGGACTCCTTTCTGAAAAGTGGCAAGAATAGGGGCCAAGTGCAGCTCTTAAGAGAGTTTCCATAGTTAGAGAACCACACAGGAGAAGTCCTTCTGCTGTGGCCCAACAAACAGACCTTGGAAAGTAAAGGCATCTTCAAAAGAGTTTTTCCTGCATTTCTTAGCACCCAGAATTATCAAGATAGGTTTAGGGCTTTGAATGTTAAAATAAACATGTTAAACTGCTTCAGAGAGTAATTGCCAATCAGTGCTGAACTTTTAACCCAAATGTAATATATACCCAATATCATGCACTGCTGCATTTTTCACTAATTGAAGCTTTCAGACAAAATTCAGGAATACAGTAGCTTCATGTAGAGTACATTGCTGTAATCAGTTTGGGATGTAGCCCAGACCTGTGTAAGTGTTGTCAGACCCAGTTAGATGTACCTTTCACCACTTGGAATGTTAAAAATAGCTGAGAAGCACTCCCAGCTACTGCAGACCTATTCTTTCAGGTAGAGTTTAACTATCCAGAATAGGATGAACCCCAATCCTGAGCCAGGTTTCCTTCTGCCCAACAGCACTTCTGACATGTTTGTATTTAATTTCAGCCTTTTTACCTTTGACCATTGTTGAAGTTAGGCAAGTGTCAAAGAACTTAAAGGAGCTAGCTGTTATTATTATGTAAAATAGAGCAACTGAAAAATTGACAATAAAAATAAAAAATAATCTTGCTATATTGTCCATTTAATCAAGCATTCTGTTTCTAAATATGATTAGTGAATTTCCTCTGGAAACTTACAAGCAGATCATTATGAAGATCATAATTTCTGTCCTCTGTCTTTAATACTCATACTGTATATTGTTTTAAACATAAGAGATTTAATGTAGTTAGCATGTGTTGCAGATATGGATCGGTTTTATCTTTTAAAACCATCTCAGCTAAAACTGTATTTAAGCACTAACTTAACTGGTAACGATTTTTAAACTAAACTTACATGGAAATTAGTCCTAGAATTCCATGTAAGATAATGAGCAGCCTAGTACGGTATATGAAAACCAAATAGGTTAATAGTGGAAAGATGGTTCCCTCTTCACCAATCACAGAAATGCAACTCTTTATCCTCTGTTAGCCCCCAGTAGGCTATTAAAACATATGGGAGGGAGTGACTTCTCGGAAAGACTGCCATTCATAGTTTTTCGTTAAAACAATTATTTATTCAGTTTTCTCTTGATGGATAATTTCCCAAATCAGAATGGTTCCAGTTTACCTTCATTTTGTAACCACAGGATGTCATGTAATGAAGAATAGATATGCTAAGCATATACAGCGGTATTATCTATATCAGAATCAAGATCTCTGCCTCTCTCTCATACACACATGTCTAATTTTGTTACTTAAATGAAAGTTGTTTTCTTTGCAGGACAGCAACGTCTTCTTGCTGGGGACAGAGTCAGATAAGAAGAGGAAGCATTCCTCTAGCAAACATTGTTACAGAGGTAAGGCTGGCCAGTATAACTAGGGATGTGATCAAGGAAAACATTTGCACCTTTAAGGATCTAATGATACTTTTTAAAATATTAAAAATGTATGTTTATATTTCTTGAAGGCAATGTAAGGGATAGGGCCATTTTCTTCTACACATGTCATCTAAAACATGTTAGAAGACTAACAGATGAAAATAAATTTAAAAGAATTAGCCTCACATCTCTCTGCAGTTATCAAAATAATTATAAAATTGTGATGGCAGTAATTTGGTTTTAGTTAAAAATACAGATATAGCCAAGAGATTACCTAGGCAACAGAATAAAATTGCAGTTGCAGTGTATGGAAGAATTACAGAGGGGAAACAGTGTTCCTGATGACAGGAATTAAACTGTTTGAAAGAACATAGGAAATTTGTGGAAAACATTAAAAAATAACAAGAAATAATACCAGCAAGAGAAAAATGTATACAATACCTAGTATGTAACCCAAAGCTTCCCAAACTTTCTCAGTTCATAATGCCAGTGTCTCAGTAATTTTTCCACAGCGCGCCCATGGCAAAAGAAATACCTAATAGTTCTGTTTATTATGTAGTTAAGTCCAAACAACATAACAAGTATTTATGTCCTAGCAACTTAATAGCCATTTGAAAAAATAAAAAACATAAATTGAAAGAAAAAATATTTTCATTTCATTCTTAAATAATCACACTCACTAATAGGATGTGTTCACCTGGGCACTGCAGAGTTTCTTAAACCTTGGAATCTGACTGGACACCACCACCCTCATTTCCTGTTCCACATTGATTTTTGCACAGTACTTGCTTTTTATCACAGCAACTGCCAAAAGCCCAGCTTCACAAATGGGTGTTGCAAAAATGTAAAATATCCCATGGCACCCATGAGTTTGCTGTGGTGTCCTGTTTGGGAACCACAGATATAACCTGAATCTATTTCCATTTAGTTTCAACCCACTGGTTCTACCTTTGTTGTCTGGGGCAACAGAGGCCAAGTCCACTTCATCCTCTATACGATAACCCTTTAGAAATCTGAATATTACTATCCTGTCTTCCCTTGTTCTCTTCTACAGGCTAAACATGCCCAGCTCTATCAACTGTTCCTCACAGGACTTGGTTTTCAGTCTCCCCACCATATTGGCAGCCATCCTCTGAATTCATTGCAGTTTGATGATGTTCCAGTGGTGCCCTGAACTCGACACAGTATTCCAAGTGGGACCTGATCAAGACAGAGTGTGGGATAATTATTTCTCATGATCTGAACTCTGTGCTTCTCTTAATAGATCTCAAAATGCATTTGCCTTTTTAGTAGCTATATAACAGTGTTGGCTTGTGTTTAGCTTGCGATCTACTATAAACTCAGATCTTTTTCATATAGCTCCCTCAACCTAAACTATTCTTTCTTTTCTAAAATATTAGGTACTCCATACAGTTTGTCATCTGCAAATTTGACATCATCCCCTCAATACCTTAATCCAAATCATTAATAAAAATGTTGAATAGCTCGAGGTCCAGAACAGAATCTTATATCACTCCACTTGATACTACTCTCTAATCTGATATGGAACATTCTGAATGAGATTATTCAGTCAATTATGAATCCATCTAACATTTTTATATAGCTCATTTTTACCATTTTATTAATGAGGATATCACAAGAGACCATTGAATGTTTTGATGAGATCAAGGTACACTATGTCCACAGCCTTCCCCCAATCTGTCAAGCTAGTAAGCAGAACAAAATGTTAATCTGGCATGATTTGTTTGTGACAAGCCCTTGAATCATTAATTATTCCATTCCTATTCAAGTGCTCACAGACCTGCTGCCTGAGGATCTTGCCTAGTATAGACATCAAGTTGATAGGACTGTAATTTCCCAGGTCCTCCTTTCCTTTTTTTGAAGATGGATATGCCATTTGCTCTCCTCCAGTCTCCTGGAACCATGTCAATTCCCCAGAAATAAAGATTATAGTTAATAGTTCTACAATTATATCTGATCTTGGAGACTTGAGTTAAGTAAGGGTTCTTTTAATCTTTCCTTGTCTATCCTGAAGAGCACCTCCTTCCTCCTAATAGTGACACAACAATGTCAGCTAGGGCTTCATTTTCCTTCTGTGAGATCTTCAAAACATGTGTTAAGACATTCTTTGCCATTAGTTACAATCACCCAATACTAATTCATCCCTTTTTTCTAGTAACAAAGAGTAGTAACAGCCTCTTTGCTTCTCCTTTTGTTTCTAACCTTTCCCAAAATGCCTCTCTTTATTTTTGTTACAAGCATTTTTCATAGGTCTCAGCCCTTATATACTTTAGTCTTTTTGACATAAACCCTAGAGTTTCTAGCGCTTGCCTAGTATTCTCCTTTTTCTACCCTTTTTCTTTTCAGTATTTTAGGAAGCTTTGTGTGTATCCATACTTGTCTCTTTAGATGTCTCCTAATAGAAATTGTTTGGATTGTACAGATAGTCCTCGGATTACGACAGTAACTGGGGCTGGAATTTCCGTTGCTAAGCGATGTGGTCATAAAACACAACATCACATGACTGCATTGCTTAGCAACAGCAATTCTGGCATTCCTGGTTGTCATTATAACCCAGGGACTACATTCATTAAGCAAGGGCCTCGTGACCACAATGTGGGATGAGGTGGGAATTCTGGCAAGCAGGCTGGCAGGCGAGAGCTGTAAGCAAGAGCTGCAGGTGGGTGGGCCAGCACTACAGACTGTGGGCGGGCAGGAGCTGCAGGTTGACACTATGGAGTATGGGCAGGCACCGCAGGCAGGAGCTAATGAGGGTGGGCAAGTGCTACAGTGGGTAGGCAGGTTGGTGGGTGCCAGAGGTGGGCGCTACGAAGTGTGAGTGGGTGGGCAAAAAATCAGCTGGAGCAGGAGTGACTTGTAACCTCCTGCTGGTTTCCCTATTGACTTTGCTTGTGGGAAGCCAGCAGGGATGGTGGCAGATAACAATCATGTGATTGTGGGATGCTGCAACCATTGTAATTGTGATCTGGTTGCCAAGCACCCAAATCACAATCATGTGACTGCAGGGATATTGCAACAGCCACAACTTCAAGGACTGAGCATAAGTCCCCCTCGTTCAGCACCATTGCAACTTTGAACAATCACTGAACAAGTGGTTGCAACCTGAGGACTGCCTATACCTTCACTAGCTAAGCAGGATTTCCCAAGCTTCCCAAACACTCTTCTTCAGGATTTCAAGCGACTGGATCTGACCTACTGTCCATCTGAATTCATCAAAAACTTGTCACTTTCTCACATATTTTGGTCATTTTCCCTTCCTTCAGCCAATTCCTTGCTATTGGTAAAAATTAGGTCCATGATAGCAGACCCTTTGTTCCCTGTTCCACATTCTAACAAATGAAGTTGTTAACAAGAGAGGGAGTTTTGAGATCTTGGCAGAGTTTAGATTTCTAGCACATGTCAGGATAGTTAAAATCACCCATTGTTGCTATCACGTGCCTCTTTGAAAGTTTGACATCTGACCACAACAGTCTCATCCATATCTTCTGCCTATCCAGGCAATCTATAATAATTATATCAATTTTGTTATGAATTTCTGTGCAAGCATATGATTCCCTTATGCACAGTGCGATACCCCCTCCCTTTCTGTTGAGTCTCTTCTTTTTGAATAAGATACAACCATCTAGGGCTGTGTTTCCATCACGTGTGTCACTAAGTTTCAGTGATGCCTATGACATATTTATCATCTTGTGTTAGGGTTTCAGGTAGTATCATTCATCCCTACATGAATCATTAAAATATGATAATTATTGGTGAGTTTGAAATGTCTTGGCAACTGACATCACATCACATCCTGAGTACAGGCATCTGGAAGACAAGACACCTTTCACATGTTATATCAGATCTCTGCACTGCTACCTTGGTTCCTGAATCACAAACAACCACAACACTTTTCTTCCTTAAAGTGATTGTTTGGGTTTTTTGACCCAATGGGTCCTGAATGTCTTCCACCTTATTCTGAGAAGCCAAGGTTGGCACAGTTTACTTAGGTAGCCATGAATTATCTTCTAGAGCAAAAGTGTAATTTTTGTTGTCAAACTCCATTAGCACTGAGTATCTCCTGTTTCTCTGGGTCACATTTTTCTACTTGTCTTCTCTGTATTCACTTCCTTTCTGTGCCTGTCCTGAGGAATTTCTTCTGTCCAGGAATTTCTCACATTTCCAGGTGTGTTAAAACCATTCTCCAGTGTCACACATAGTAATTAACAACAATCTGCACTGCAATCAGCTATTTAATGGACAATCAACAGAAGTCAGGAAACAGCAGTAATCATTCAGCAGTGTCCATCTGCTTGGCTCTCCTATTCTCTTTTTCTTCAAATGGATTCTAAAAATAACTAAATTAGCTTCTACTTTCACTGATTAATACTGCATTACTTTTATTCATAGTTTATGATGTCTGCCTTTGAAAGTAATCAGGTGGATCAAAATATTGCTACTAGAATAATACTTTGGATTGGACATCATGATTATATTATAGCAGTATTCCATCTGTTCACCAGTTACTATTCATTTCTGAGTCTAGATCAAAGTATTGCTTTTGATCTCTAAAAACCTTTCTAGTTTGAGATCTTGGTATTTGAAGAGACTTTCCCCCCACATGTCTTAATCAGAATCCAAAGATAATCATCTGAGAAAGGCAAAAGCACAGCTGAACATTCTCTTGGGAGGTCAAAGGTGTCCACTGAGGGTGTGTGAAAAAAGTCAAGATGGCAGGTGTGATTGTGCAGTTGAAGCCCTGCCCTTTTATAATGTGTGTAATGTGCATGTACAAAGGGGCAGGCCTTTAGTCATATCACCCATCTTGGCTTTTTTTTTTTTTTTTTTTTACCTCTCTTCCTCTTTACATGGTAGGGTATTCAGTTGTGGAATACCCTGTCTCAAAAAACCTGCCTGGTACCTATTTAAGATATTTCTGGCCCTAGACAAAATCTGCTTAATTGTCTTAAGCCTTTTATGTTTTGGTTTCTTGCTATTCCAACCCTGTGTTTTGCTCCTTTGACCTCTGATTTCTTATTGTAAATATTTTTTCTGTTCCCTACTTAATATGATTTTAATATTTGTAATATTGTTGTATTTTGCAATTTTCTTTTAATTCTTGCAAATCCAAGAATGTAAGGTATGAGATGTTAAATAAATTGTTGTATTGTCTATTTTATTTATACAATTCACTAAAAGAGAATATAAGACTGCAAATACAAGACTAAGCAACCAAGAGCCTTAGGATCAAAACCTTTGTAAGGACCATGACTGAAGTTTTCCAGCTGGGTCAGTTAGTTTAAGAACCTGAGGTTAGGACAGTCTGCAAATGAAGATATAGTTGGTTTTGATGTGCTGTGCATTTATTTATTTTTACCTATTTTCTCTGTACTCCTTTAGACTTTTGTCCTTTTGAGCTTTCCCTGCCTTTGGAAACATCATCAAAGAGTAGGAACAAAGTAATTTTGAGTCCACTCTCTGCTGACACTGCCATGGATTTGCTTAAAGCCATCAGCACACCTTTAGCCACAGGCTCCAAATCATCTAAAAGGACATTGGAAAAATCATCTCATTCTTCATTCAGTGCTCCTGGTTATTCAGAGGGTAAGAAGGAACATCACAAGAAAAAGCTGAGTGGAAGCAGTGATCCACCCTTGGATGACGGTACTTTCCACAAATCCAAAAAAATTAAACCCCCATATGTAAACACGGAAATGCTGACCTTACGTGAGCCTGATGGCTTAAAAATGAAGCTAATCCTCTCACCAAAAGAGAAAGGGGGAAGCATAACAGATGATCCCTTTCCACATTCTGGAGCTACAAAAAAGGCCTCTAAGAAGTCTATTCGGGATGAACAAAGCTCGCTGCTCCCAAGCCATGATACACACGCCTTCCTGAAATCATCCCGTAAGAAGCACAAGCCACCTTCAGATCCACATCCCCTTCCTGCTGCTGAGGGCTTTAGCCCAGATACATCCCTCTTCCCAGAAGGCCAAAGCAGTGACTTTGAGCTTTCAAGCTTGGAACCACAAATGGAATCCGGATCTTCATCTGGAGGTGAGTTGGAAGCTGGAGAACTAGTCATTGATGATTCATATCGGGAGATAAAAAAGAAAAAGAAATCGAAGAAGAGTAAAAAGAAGAAGGACAAGGAGAAACACAAGGAGAAAAAACACTCTAAATTGAAGAAGAGTGCTGGACTCTCTTCATCACCAGCAGCAGCAGAAATAACACAACTGCCTGTTTCTCCAACCAACATCCAGTTTGCTGTACCTGCCCCTCCTCCTCCCCCACCGCCACCACCTGTTTTCTATACAGATGGCCAGAATGAGAAAAAGAAGAAGAAAGAAGAAAAAGACAAGATTGAGAAAATAGAAAAAGATAAGGTAAACATCAATTGCACAGCAAGCGAGTACTATAAGTTATGGTTGCTTCTTGTAATAGCATATTCAAAATATTCTTCATAACACCAGATCTTGAGCCATAATATGCTTTTTATTCCAGAAGTTTTTGTGTTTAAAAATGTTTTAGATGCTGCCTTTTTTAATTATCATCATGAACTGCAGGCAATGAGAAATACTGCATCTTTGTAAAGTGCCCATTTTTCTCCAGCTGTAGAACTATGGTTTGTAAAAAAAAAATAACTAATAGACACACTCCATAACAAAAAGTTCATCCCAGTTATTAATGTGTAAAGACATGCACTATGAGATGGTTTTTCAGATATTTCTGTAGACATTAGAAAGAAATTGATACTAGTACATACTGTAAAATATTATCTCCCTCCCCCTTTTTCTAATTAGCCAAAGAAGAAAAATATGTCTGCCTACCAAGTATTCTGTAAGGAATATCGTGTGAACATTGTGGCTGAGCATCCAGGAATAGGTAAAATAACAGCCCTGTAAGGGTTGGGTTTTTGTTGTTTGTTTATTCCAACCTCTATTTTATTTCCTCTAAATTATTTGCATAAAGATAAAATACTCATTTGAAAATATATGTTTCATAAAGATAAATTACTCCTGAAGTAAGTCAGGAGATTTTACACACACACACACACACACACACACACAAATACATTTTTAAAATCCACACTTTCAGAAAGAGTTACTTCCTCATAAGTGTCACCATGAGAAAGTGCATTTCTTACTGATACCATCTGCCATTCCACTTTCCACTCAAGAGAATTATTGGAGCAGCTGACCACAACATTTGAACCTGCATTAAGATAAGAAAACAAATTACATATCATAGAAGAAACATTTCATATTCAAACTTAAAAAGACTTTTTAGCCAGTTGCCAAAAAATACAAAACTTGGCATTACGTGAACCATTCTGATGGGAAGACTCCAAATTCAGGATATCACCACTGAAACGTCTAAATTTCCAATTAGTCTCTTCCTCACTATTAACAGCATTAGAACCGAGAAGAATGTTTGACACTTACTGTAATAACTTGTCTGGCTCATATGCGACAGAAGGCAATCTTTAAGTTAGAACTATAAAGGACTAATTTTAAAGAACAGAAAGGTATTTTCTAGTTCTAATCTAGTGCCTGTGGTTTAAAACAATTGCAGTTTCTGATCAAGGCAGGCCCACATAAAACATACTACGATAATTTAAACAGTATTTTGGTATATTTTAAAACAAAACCATAAGACAGGGCAAACAATGTTTTAATTCTCAAAATAATGTGGCCAATCCTAATTCAGGTTCTGAGTTTCCCTTTCTAATCTGGTCACAGACCTTTTGAACTAAGCATGTTGTCAGGCAGTGTAGCTTGGTGCAAATGCTGAAACAATCTGCAATATTTTTACAGTGTAGAGAAACATTTACATAAATAAGAAATAAAGAAAAGTAGTTACTGAATTCTTATATAAGTCAACTGAATTCAATTCAATTCAGTTCAACTCAGAATTCAGTACCAGAGTTTAAGGAGATCTATTCTCAGGTAAGTACATATACTGTAGGATTGCTACCTATCATTGTAAGATAATTACTTTAGCAAATGTTTTTAAAATTCTTGGTTAAAATGGGTAGCTTGGTTAAAGTATAAATTGGTTTCCTCTCAGCTCAGTTGAATGTTGATGACTGCATTACACCCTAAATAAAATATGGCTGCTATCCTAGCTATAATCAAATATGTTAGCGACTAAATTTGCAGTATCAGAAGAGAAACAGGCAAGCATACTAATTTTTGTTGAGTGTCTAGGTAAATGAATAGTGCATTAACAGACTACCAATAAGATTCATTTGTTTTACCAATCCTCTTCCTAAATGTGGACTGGTATTAGCTAATATAAATCAGGGTAATTAAGTATCCATCTTTTATTTTGTTCTTTTAGCAACCAGATTGTACCAGATCCTTTTGCTCAGAATTTTGTTAGAATTGCTTGCAGTCTTATGGTAGTAGTTTATACAGCAGAAGTATATCAAATTATTAATTGTGGGATGGTTTCACTTTCTATATTTAATATAAAATCTGACATGGGTAGCTTTACATGTATATAGTTAATCAAAGAATATTTATCATTACATGTGTTGTTAATGTATCTTATAATGGATTGGGCTATTAATTAAATGTTCATGAATCAGATTCCTCATTAAAACTAGAAAATACCTGTTTTTATTCTGAACTGTTCACCTTCTCTGATTTCCTGCTAGATTTTGGTGAGCTGAGCAAAAAGCTAGCAGAGGTTTGGAAACAGCTTCCAGAGAAAGATAAGCTGGTAAATATTTGAGAAGACATTTTAACAAAAAAAATCTGAGTTGGCTTGTGCCTGGGACGTTGCCACCATGGTGCTTGCATTAATTTACTCCCCAGAGTAGTTTATGTATAGCAGTCCCCTCCACACGTTAATAATTATGAAATACTTGGGATCTAAGTACTTTTAACTATGTGGGCTGCATATTTCGCTAACCAGTTGCCTAAATAATACGATTTTTCACATTAGTTTGCTTTCCCTGTTCTTTGCAGGTTTGGAAGCAGAAAGCTCAGTATCTGCAACATAAGCAGAATAAAGCAGAGGCTACGACAGTGAAGAGGAAGGCCACCTCATCAGAAGGTGCCCCAAAATTGAAAGGTAACTTCCACACTCCATTATATTCATATGTTTTTCTTCCAAGATAATTTTATATCTTATTTTAGTGGCAACTAAATATACTGGGATGTTTGTGTGTTTCATCAAAGTGTTCCAAGATTCCAGACTTGAATTTCATCATTAACAGCTGATGGGAGATTGGCAAAGATTGGGGGTTTGGTTTACTCCCAGACCTCAGAATTCAAATATGAAGGTCTGAGAAGTATCAGGAAAGCTGCTTTAGGCCAAGATTGACAAGTTTTTTTATTAGTCAGAATACCTAGAATAAGTCTAAAGATTCCAGACTTGAATTTCATCATTAACAGCTGATGGGAGATTGGCAAAGATTGGGGGTTTGGTTTACTCCCAGACCTCAGAATTCAAATATGAAGGTCTGAGAAGTATCAGGAAAGCTGCTTTAGGCCAAGATTGACAAGTTTTTTTATTAGTCAGAATACCTAGAATAAGTCTACATAAATGGGAACAATGAAATATCAGAACACCTTAGCCACTTTTATGACATTGTGTATTGAACTGATTTGACCTTCAGATAATTATCAGCTGCCTTTTTGAAATAAAGTAATAGAATGAAAGGTATGAGAGATTGTGGGAAAGCAGGGGCCAAGGAGTTGGGTTATCTGAGAAGAGGCAGCGCAGTCCAGATGTGAGAGATGTGGGAAGAGCACATTTCAGAGACTCCACTTAAATTAACTCATTGTAACCAAAGTTGAGGATTTACTCTTATTGTTTTCAAGATTCTGTTTTTAACCCAGACTAGCATTAAAGATACTTTCTTGAACTCTGTGTTATTCTTGCTTTTATCAGCTGGGTAGGGCTTGACCAAAGGACAAAACACTCTTATCCAGCCAAAACCTTTAATTCCATGAATTGAACTATCAATATAAAGTATTTACAATGTGGAATAGGCACAAATATGAAGAGAGGGGAACTTTGATGAAGCAGTGATGATAGAACTGTCTTTCTCAATCTGATGCTGTCCACATATGTTATATTTCATGCCCCACAACCACCTGGAGATTGTAGGAATTCAAATCCAACATAACTGGAGGTTAACAGTTTAGGGAATGCTTCTTTGAACAGTGAGAATGCAAACATAAGTTATTTCAGTTGTGAGGGATTATGATTATGATTATTAATTAAAATTCTATACTGCTGACTCTCAGTGACTCTGGGCAGCTTTTCTGGCCCTTCTTTTCCCAAAGGTCATGCATTAGAGGAATGTTCACATATATGAGGATATTCCCCTATCTTAACTTTTTTATATATTGCATAAGCTGCACAGTTTTTAAACTATCAGTTTTATTGTCTGTTTTCAGCTTCTCTAACAAGTGTGCCTTCACCCCATAAAAAGTCCCCAACCAGCACTGTGGTATTATCCTCTTCACCAGTGAAGGTTCCTGAGACAGATCCCATTGATGTAGCTGCACATCTGCAATTACTGGGAGAATCTCTGAGTCTTATTGGCCACAGGCTGCAGGAGACTGAAGTAGGTACAAGAGCTATCATACAGTTTCATTTATATTTAGTATTTGTAGAAATTAAAGAAGATGACAGAGATATGCAAGATCTGTTGCCAGGGCAATGGGGGGTGGGGGGTTGAAACATATTTTATGTCCACAATAGACAGACATTTGGAAGCTGTTCAGACATTTCCCTAAATCACTGAATTATAGGAAGGAAGAGGAGATATGGCAGTCAGACTTGTAAGATTTTGTTATTATAGCCAATCACAATAAAAGTAGTATTAGCCTTCCTGTGGAGTTGATGTCTTGGTCTGGTCTACCTAGTGGGGCTGACAATATTGTTCTTTAGTCAGACCGTGGGTGGATAGTCCCTAGGTCGTATGTGGGCCTCAGATCTAGCTTTTCACACTCCAAGATTACATTGCTAAAATTTGCCAGCAGATATCTATTTTTGGTAGCATGAGTTTTCACTCTTTTTAAAAAATAACCACTGAAATAAATCTAACTCACCTATTTTGCTATGCCTACAAAAGTTGGAGTTGAAAATTCCAGTCCTACCCCCTTCAGTGAGTGTTTAAGGTTAATGGGAGTTGCTATCCCATAAATCTGGAGGATGCGAGGTTGTGGAAGGCTTGTACTGTAATCTGCAAAATTCAGTATTATTGGAATGGGCTGGATATAACACTACTTCTGCTTCTTGCTGCTCTAAAGTTTCTTATCATTTATCAAGATTTTGCTGTTGTAAATCATGAAGTTTCTAACCTTCATGATTTCAGAGTTTCCACTGATTGTTTAAAAACTGAATTACTTGAAAAGAAGAAAACAAAGAAGGGTATAAATCTCATTATTCAGCATGAAAAATAACTTATCCCAAGACCTGAACTTATATGGTGAAGGCAATTGGAAGGTGAATTAGAACAGACAAAAGAAAATACTTCATCATACAGCACCTAATTAACCTGTGACATTCACTACCATAGAATATGGCAATGAGTATCAACAAAAATGAATGAAGGACAGATATATCAAGAGCTATTAGTCTTGGAGCTGCAAAGTTACCTCCAACCTCCAAATATAAATTGCTGGGGAAAAACATTGGAAGTGTGCTATATCTCCATTCCCCTCTGAGAGCATCCCAGAAGCATCTAGTTATCTGATAAAAAAAACTAAATGCTGGACTAAGATGGGACTTCTGATCCACCATGATATTCTTACATGTTTATGGAATTATACTGTAGAATAGATTACTGAGAAGCCACCTAAACAGGAAGCAAGTATGGAGGCTCTCCATTTTAAATATATTAGCTTGCTGAAGCTCAGTATGCTTAATATGTTAACTGCATACCCAGCATGAGTATTCAGGTTGAGAATCAACATGGCTTGTATATTTTAATTATTTATGCAGTGCTACATTTTGTGTGTGCTACTTTATACACCTGTGGCAGAGAATGTAGCATTTCTTGCTATCGGTATGCTTTCAGGAGAATTCATGTTCACTCATTTCTCTGTGCATGATTCATTTGTAAAAGCTTCTTCACAGAGCAGAATAGGGCTGCTGAATTTGAGGGAATACATGCTGGACTTAAAACAAAAAGGATACATTGATAGTGAGAATATTAGATTAACAACTTTTCTCATTCCTTTTTGGCCTCCTAGGGAATGGTAGCTGTATCAGGAAGTTTATCAGTACTCCTGGATTCAATTATCTGTGCCCTAGGCCCTTTGACATGCCTAACATCCCAGTTACCTGAGCTAAATGGTTGCCCCAAACATGTTTTGGTAAGTTACATTTTATTCCCAAGCTATGCTACTGTGTCCTAAAATCTGGTTGTGGCCACTTACCTGGTAACAAAGCCAATTTGTAATTGTCATAGCATACATTATCCCTTCCTCTAGTGCTGCCTTTCAACACTGTATCATGTGATGCAATACCCTATTTCCCTATAGTTCATATAATGAATTTTTAGACAGGATGTGTTGTATAAAGATTCGTTGTGATGGTTGACAGATTTAAGCCTTTCTATACAATTAATATGTGGCTTGGTAGATAAAAATTATGTATTTTGCATTCTATTCAGGATCACATTATTCTGTGCTTGAATTTACAGCTCAGGGTTAATCCAGTTTTCTTAAAGTGTAATATTTTATATGTAAGACAATACGCTATATACTGTACTGTATATATGCCATAGTGGAATCTTGGCAAAAGAATCATTAATGTCTTCTCCCCAATGCATATACTACATTGAAAATATCTGTTGGCTTTAAAAAGCCTGTTTCTTTGGTAGTGAATAAAGCTATGATGCATTGTTCCAGTGTAGAAAAAATGTTTATAATTTATTTTCAAATGCAAATGCAAACAAATGTATTTCCTTTCACCACTGGAGTTAGGCAGCCAATAAATTTTAATTAATTAATTAATTAATTAATTAATAATAATGAAGAGTTTGCTGATTTCTGATTTTCTTTTAGCATTTTTTAAAATTCTTTTGAGATTGTGTCTCATACTTACTATCCTAGAATCTATTTTTAGATTATTATTTTTTTTTAATGTTAGCAGTAACACCAATCTTTAGCCAAAGAAAAGCTGCCCTCTTACATTTTATGGATGGATGGATAGAATACTATAATTTTGTTGTAAAAAAGCAGCTTGCATGGGATGGGTGGGCTATCCAAGTTTACTTAGTTTTGAGCCTGAGTAGAGGTTTGGATCTTAGTCTCCCTGGTATTCACCTGCCATTCTAGCTGCATTAGCTTTGAAAGACATTCTTTCCTCCTCTGAGGTATTTTTAAAAGATAAAGAGATTGTGCCTCATGCAATCTACTGTTTATACTTTCTTCCAGTAGCTGGCTCTCCTACATAAATGGTTATATTTGAGATACTGTTTAAAATATTTAAGCCCTGGCTTCCCAGGATGCTCAAAGCAGCTTAAAAATTAAAGCATTCTAAACAGCAGCAGCTAATACTTACACATATATAAAAAGTAATATAGTGGCAATGTAAGCTAAAAATCAGCACCCTGAAAATTGATAAAAATCTAAGCAAGAAAATGTAAGTATAGGTAGTCATCGCTTAATGTGCATTTGTTCAGTAACTGTTCAAAGTTACGACAGTGCTGAATGAAGGGACTTACGACTGTTCCTTGAAGTTCTGGCCATTGCAGCACCCCCACAGTTATGTGAACAAAATTTGGGCCCACTCAGGTTCACTTGCATTTATGAACACCTTTTGGCCTACCTGCTGCCCCCACTGCCCGGCCTTACCCGCCACCACCGCACCCACCACACCACACACTACTATTATACTGGCTGGGGCCTTTTTTCATACCGCCTTCTCCTCTCGCGCGCCATCTAGGGCCTCTGCACCCACCCAGGGCTTCCATTCACACCAGAGTCCTTCTTTAGCACTGGCACACTGCCCCGCCACCCAGCCCTGCCCACCACCACCAGGCCTGCCGCACCGCATGCCACTACTGTGCATCTGTTGTGCCCACCCAGGGCCTCGGTTCGTGCCGGGGTCCTTCTTTCACACCGGCACAGCCGGGACATTCTTTCATGTGCTGGGCTTCTTTCACAAAAGAAGGCTCTGGGTGGGGCACGAACAAAGCCCCGGCCAGTACAGTAGTGGCATGAAGTACAGCAGGCATGGCAGCAGTGGGTAGGGCTGGACAGCGGGGGCAGCTGGTGGCAGCAGGTAGGTGGGCAGCCAAAAGGGAAGAGATGATGGGGGAGATAGGCAGCTGGTGGGATTCAGTTAACATCAGCAACAGGGACTGCTGGGATTGCTGTCACTAAACAATGCGGTCACATGACATTGCACTTTACAACCACATCGTTTAGTGACAGAAATTCTGGTCCCAATTACCATTGTTAACCAAGGATTACCTGTAGAAGGTAGTATATTCCTTGGACGTTTTCATAAACAGAGTGTTCTTTCTTTTATGTTTACACTTCTACATCTTACCACATCCTGAAAAGCAATAATACATTTACTATAAGTGGGGGAAAAGATACTTAAAGCCAGAACATTCATTTAATCCTGTTAAATTAGGGTGTACTGTGGAGCATCAATTCATAATTCCAATTGGCAAAATGAGTTTTTCATCCTGGCTTGGAAAGGGCAAGGAGCCCCACCTTTTTTCCTAACTGGTAATTGAGATAGCAGCTCTCTTCTAATTGCACAGGGCTTTGGAGAGTGTATCATAGCTAAAAAAAACCTCTAACTTCCTGTCCCATTCCAAACTAAAAAGGAGGGCCATTCTTTGCAAGCTTAGGAGTGAGTTACTTACTTCTGGCTCTGAAGGGGGAGCTGAAGAGTTCCATTTTGACAGTCCAAATGCCTCAGCTGATCCCTCTAATTCCAAAGGTGGAGAGGAGATGCTCTCCATGTTTGAAAGTGCAGCAAAAAAAAAAAAAAAAAAATGGGGATAAAATGTTCAGTGGAATCTGTTTATTTAATTCACTTACTTCTGCCATAAGTCCCAATGAGTTTAATAGAACTTAGATGCAATTTTATACCTGATTACCTGAGAGGGAGCAAATAAAATTTCTAACATCTGCTTCTTTATTAGCTTTATAACAATTATATAATCCAGGTCAGAGGAGATACAGTCTTTTCTATCTGTTCAGAGTAGGGACAAGCAATAAGTTTGTGATCATAAGCTGCAATATGGTAGAGACACCGTGACATGATCAATCATGGCCAGGGCTGAAATTTTCAGTCATTTTTCTAGTGCATATGTGAAGGGAGAGCGTTGAGACAAAATGCGTATTATGTGAAGTGGGAAATTGTCACACCTATTTCAGCTGTTTTTAAAAAAAACAAAACAAAAACAAATAGGAAAAATCATAGTGAACCAAACATTGAAGATTTGTTGTCAATTTGGGCAATGCAGAAATGGGGCTGGGAAACCATGACTTGCTTGTCTGTTCCAGAGAAAGGTCACAGTTGTGAAAATACTGGTTACCCGTCCATATTTTAAGTGGTGGGTTTTTTCTTAAATATTCTGTTCAAGCAAAAAGCATTTCACTTTGCAATATGCATATTGAATTAATTTAATGTTTTTGTCTTTTCAGTCAAACACATTAGATAATATTGCCTACATAATGCCTGGACTCTGACAGAAAAGGGAGTGTGGAAAGTAATCTACTACCATGCAACTGGTGTGTGTACATATATATTGTATTCTTCAAGACTCAACCTACAGAATTTTAAACATTTTTGTCAATAATTGTTTAACCTGATTTTATGAAAAGTCCTGAACTTAATTTGCAAGAATTGGAGGATGTTTTCTTAAGTCTGTGTGTTTCTATATAACTAGAGTTTAGCAATCTTTTGATATATGAGCCTTAATATGAAAGAAAAAAATGGAATTGTTTTAATTAGAAATGTCAAACAATTTGGGGCAAACAAGTGCCATGGACCCAGTACCACTAATATTTTAGATATAAAATAATACTTCTCTGAGTGGAAACAGTTTGGAGAAGAAATAATTTGCATGTTGTTAAAAGTAATGCTGGGAAAAATGTTTTTTTGTCTTTCCCTAAAGAAATGTTCTGACATTAGGACTTATTAAATGTTCCATTCATTGATTGGCAGGGCTAATACAGATTTGGGAGTGAATGAAATCAAAATTAAAAATGGCTACAAATTTCAGAGTGAATGAAATCAAAATTAAAAATGGCTACTTCTTTAATGTGACTGCTTAAAGCAGCTCTATTTTTCCCCAGACACAATTGCTTTAATAAGTAGCAGAGAGGTGCTAATTCATGTTCATTCAAGTTCTGAATCAATTCTTCCAAATCGTTTTCAAAACATGTATAGCACTAGTAACTACTGTATAGAAATGTAGTATTTCACACAATGCTCAGATTATGAGAAAAAAGAGGATTCCTAGCCCACAATTCCCATCTCCAAGTTCTTCACATTTAGATAGTGACTTCTGAAACAGTAGCTAAAAATACTGTCATAGAAGGTAAGAAGGTCCCACCAATAATTCAAATTCTAGTTTAGCATTCTTACTACCAGCAGTGAACTGACTTCTTTCTCTTGTGGTGCTGATATTCATGTAGAGGCAGTTAGAGAGGTGATATTTAAGGACTTACTAATGAGAGGAAGAGAAATCCAGTATCCCAGCACAGGCTTTAGTGCTCTGAATCTGTTCTTCTCTGGGAAAGCACTTTGTACTCCATAGGATTAAGTATGGCATTCTTAACGTGAGTATTTACATTTTCCTGTATGTATTTTTGTATATAGCTGTAATTAAAATACAAAAAAATCCTTCCATTAATATTGTTCAGAAAACATGTATTGTTTTTATCCTTTGTACACCTTTGTCAGAATCAAACTTCATGTTATAGTGTAACAGGTATTGATTCAAAAGAGGTTTTGAATTTAAAAAAAGCATTCAAATGGAAACAGCAATAGTGGGATTGAGGAAACAGATGAAACAAATGTCAGAACGTTATATTGTATGTCATGTACCCTTATCACATAGGATTTAAGAAATTTAAAACAACAGAAAGCAGGATAATTTTGAGTCCAAGACTAAATATACACTGTTTTCCTAGGCTCTTAGAGTGGATATTTTTCATATTGGTTGAAAATTAAATTGACTGGTTTTCCATTGTTTCCCCTTATACTTCCTCTAAATAGTGAGGCACCCCCTCCCCCATTCCTATCCCCTAGTTAAAGCTGCAGACTAAAGTACTATAGCGTAACTAAATTCATGTACTGGGGGCTAATGATTTGAGTTTTTCAAAACTTATTCAGATCTGATGTTACTTGAAGTGCTATAAGCAGTATAAGAGGAGCTTGGTGTAGTGGTTAAGGCATCAGGCTAGAAACTGGGAGACTGTGAGTTTTAGTCCTGGCTTAAGAACAAAGCCAGCTGGATGACCTTGGGCCAGTCACTCTCTCTCAGTCCTAGGAAGCAAGCAATGGCAACCACTTCTAAAAATCTTGCCAAGAAAACTGCAGGGACTAGTACAGGCAGTCACCAGGAGTCACTGACTCAAAGGCATGTGCACACACAAGCAGTATCTGAGCAATGAAGAAGATCCATCTTTGGATTTGGACATTTAGCAGAATCATTTAGTTGCATTTTATGTTGTATCGCTGCTTTGGGAAAGTTCTTTCAAGGTTTCAGTCACTGAGTGGAGAGATAAATTAGGAGTCTGATAGCACCTTTTCCAACTAACAAATTTTATTAAAAGGAATAATCAGATACCTTGCATCTGATTAAATGAGCTACAGCTCACAAAAGCTTATGCCTTTTAATAAAATGTGTTAGTTGGTTCTGCCAGACACCTGATTTTTGCCACCATAGACTAACAGAGCTCTCCTCCTATGAGCGTAGAAAGGCGATTTTTGCTGATATCCTCTTGTCCTGTGCTACCCCACCAACAGATGTATCCAAATTTGCTACAAAAGCTTGAGAAAATTATTCAGAACAACACAGAATGAGAGCACAGGAAAGTCAGAAACAATTGCCTTCTTCCACTGGAATAAATAATCTGCCGTCAATTAAAGGTTTTAATTCATAAGGAGACATAATATTTGGCTAAGTTTTCAGCATCTTAGATTAAACACAGGAAGATCTGCTTCACATTTGCCATTAGCGTTTATGGCAGACTTGATGTTTTTACACACACAAATGTACTTGATGTACCTTTATTTAAAATTTGTACACATTTGTATAATATATATCTTGTCATATTTGATACAGGAGGGTTTTAAACCTAAATTTTAGTTTTTTTTTATATATTTGTTAGTTCCTGCATTTAGCCTTCTTGTTATTGTACATAAGCTTTTTTATACCTGAAAATTTCATTTTGATTAATTTCATATTTCCTCCCAGTATTTCATGTACAGGTTTTTCAGTATCAGAAAATTATGTATCCCTCTGCCATCGGTCTGACACTATCCTTATATTATAATCACCTATATATGTGCCTCTATAGGACTCTGTACTCTATGCCATCTTTTTTTTCATTCTGCCTCAAGGTTGTCATAGTTTGAATTCAGTCAGTGTGGTCTACCAGGAACAATTATAAACTCTTCAGCTGTAAGATGTTTGTTGGTAATTTTCATGTGAGATTTGTGGGTCAGTTCTGCAGGCATTTGCAGGCATTCATAACACTCTGGGTCCCAAAATGGCCCACACCAAGTTTTGAAAAGCATAATATTTACGTAAAGCTTGGAAACTTGAGCCTGTAACATGTGGGTACTGTACATTCTTACATTGCTTTTGACATGAACTTGACGATTGTTTTAAAATAGAAAATTTTGACCCCATATACTTCAGCATATCAAGCAAATTGTTGCTATTAAAGTTATTAGCAAGAAAGATGCTTTGTTTTTGAGATGTTATTTCCTATTTCCACATTAAATAAAATCTACATAATAAAATACCAAAAAATTAGTACTACAGTCATGATGCAAAATGTCTTGAAATAATTAGTAATCCAATATAGTTGTACTGTTAGATTTAAAATTAATCATTCAAATGGGTGTGTTTTGCAGATCCATATACTGTACATATAAGTTATCCTTTTCTGATAAGGAATTAAAGCATCTTGGAACTTTCCAATATTCCAGTGGAGATTTAGAGTATGAATACTAATTATGCATTAATGGTTTGGAGGCTACAGGTGTACCTTTTAAAGTTGCAACCCATTTAAATTTATAATCTTAGATCTCTCTGTATCAGGATGAGGAATCAGGAATCCAAAAGTGCTGTCAACAGATATGCTTTACTGAGTCTACTCAACAGTGTCTCTTTCCTGCATTGACTTGATATTTGTAGCTCTGTTAGCCTCTGGGTTTGGATGGGAAAAGCAGCAGAAGTCTGACAACTTGGGCATCTATAATCACCTAAACGTTGCTATTGAAAAAGAACTGGAAATAATCAGGAATGGCAGATACCTCAACTCGGCCGTAATGTCAGGAAAGCGCTTTAAAAGCAGGTTTAGCTTAATACAATAAGGTTTTGATTGTGGCAGAGCGAGATGGACTCCACTCTGTCCAAGCTGCTTTCTCTGGAGCAGGCCCCCCGAAGAAGCTACCAATACTAGGATGACTGGGAACGGCTTTGCCACCCATAGTGGCATCATCCAATTGTCGCTGCCTGCTGTCATCGGGCAACAAATCCTTCTCTACAGCAAGAGCCTTGTAAAAGACTACATTCCCGGGCGTGCTTGCAAGGAAATGCGTCCCCCGAAGTTAGGGAACCTTATCGCTGGCGAAGATGCTTAACAGCGACCCGCTTCCTCCCTCAGCTTTCATGTTAAATTCCGCCCGCAAAGGCGGTGCTTACGTTACGGGGTGTGTCTCAAGGGCAAGGAACGGGACAGCCCCCTGCCAGGGCGGTCACGTGACCCACTCGCGGCCCTGTCAGCTGATCTCTCCTAAGCCGTGGCGGTCATCTAGGCAGTGATGGAGTTTCTTCTCGGCAGTCCTTTTAGCTCTCCGGTCGGGCAGCGCATTGGTAAGCTGCAGCCTGTCTCACGTTACGCTTTCTCTATCCCCCCACGTCCCCCGAATTCGACTGTTTGCGTAGCTGTAGTTTTAAACTCCAGATTTTACCTCAAGTCAGTATCTACCGCGGGTAGGCGGAGCTTATAAACCATGGAGGCGGGGTTTAAATTTTTCCGGCCGATGGGGATGCGACATTCTTCTGACGGACATTTCGTGCTGATCAATGGGGTATGACCGAGGAGGCGGGCTCTTGGGGTAGGCCTTGTAAGCCAATCCTGTCGCGGTGAGAGTAGTGGGGGGTCTCGAAGAAGGGATAAAGTTTGCTTATTTAAAGGGGACGCGCCCTCTAGTGGGAACGTCACGCCCCCTAAGAGGCTATTCGCTGCAGTCGTTCTTTCAGAGCGGGCTGCCTGTAAGCAGTTGAGGTTAATTTTAAAAAAAGGTCTTCGAAGCCTGACCTTCAGTTGCTTACGAGGTTGAGGAAATAGCTTATGTCGCAAGAGCACGGGTTGGCAAGCTCTTTGGGCGGAGGCCTACTTGCTTGCTCTCCTGTGGTCTTCCCAGTAACCAGAGCCCGTCCAAATGAGGTGGACTACAAATTCCATCCCTCCTAGGCACATGGGACTTGCAGTCTGTCACACAGGGATGGCACCAGTTGGGGAAAAAAGGGAAATATGGTTGGCTGACTGAGGTACTAAACAAATAAAAGTCTAGTCCTGGTGTCCTAAGGAGAGAAGAGTATATTTCTAGAAGAGATGGCGTTTAAGTCATTGATGAGGAGCCTGTGGCCTACAACTGTTGCTGAATTACATCTGGAAACATTGCTTACCTTTACAAGCTGGGGCTCCTGGGAATTGTAGTTCTCAGTGTTTGAAAAGTCACACATTCTCTGTCGCTAGCTTAAGAGTTCACGAAATAAAAAATTGTGAACCTGTAGTGCATCCTTTCCTCCTTGGTTGTGCTTCCATGGCAGCAATCCTGGGTAGCTAGGTTTAACCTTTGATTATGTTTCACACAGAACTCTAGATAGTGTTGTTCCATGACACTGAAGTACATTTAAAAGGCAACTAAATCCAATAGTCTAATGGGTTTTTTCTTCTTTTTATGGATATGGGCTAAAGTAAGCAATTTAAGGATCTTAGGACAGGTTTCAGCAATGGACCCTGTAAATGCCCAAGAATGCCTATTGATAACCATAGGTGAGAGGACAGAGGCATTGTTTCTAAATCCATCCTTCTGCATCTGCAGGAAGCACACTGTAGGTAGTCCATTAAAGATCAAGGCATATTGCTCTTGGTGTCTTTATGTCAGATTTCATGGAAAGAGGAAAAGTTGTCAGGGACAGCAGATGTCCCTGTATTATATAGCCATAAAGGCATATAGTTTTATAAGTAAAAAGCATACCACGCAAGAATCATCTTATCTATTGGTGTATCTTTTCCTTGTGGCATCATGCTCTAGCCTGTGATTCACAGGCTTCATTCACAAAAAATCCCATGTGACTTACTAAAATATATTTCTAATTTAAATCTGAAGTAAGTTAAACTCTACTAATAAGAACATTCAAGCATTGCCAAAATTCACAGGGACATATATACTGTTCATAATGCTGGGTGAAATCCAGGCTCAGTCCTACTGAGATTAAATCCATTGAAATCAACTGAATCTGAATAAGGTATAAATACATTCCACTGATTTCTGTGAGCCTGCTTCATTAGGAGTCAACCTGGTTTTCACCCAGTATAATTGTTTGTGTGGCTAAAATGAAATGTAATTTAAAATCCAAATTTTGAAATTTGCTTAGACAGTAATAGGTGTTAAAAGCATTAACTGAATCCCCTTTCTTGTCTTTGGTAGACAAAAAAATAGATTGTTGTTTCAGAGGATATCAGAGTCCTTGAAATCCAAAATAACCTTAGTAGCCTCTAAATCTTAACACGTTAGTAATGTGTGATAAATTGCCAGTCTCCACACCCTGGCAGCAGGCTAACATACATCTTACTGAGTTTGCTTGTAAGAACTTAGACAACATTCACATATGTTACCAGCTTGGAATATCAAATTTGCTGTCGCATTTAGTTTTGTAGTCTTTTATAAGTTCCAGTTGGAATTGTTTGTTGTTGTCAGGTTAGATTTAGGCTGCTTTGTTTGTTGTCTGCGTCACTGTTCCATATAGAAGTTGTTGGACTCGAGTTAGGCTTCAGAAGGTGTGGATGGTTCTAATTACAGCTTCCGAAGCTGAGTCTAGCATCTAGATCTTACACATTACTATTGACAGCCTTGCGTTTTAGAAAAGTTTCATCAGTATTTTGCTTACAGAAGTCTTGTAAGAATCGGCCAATATTACTATTCCAATAAAATAAATGGGGACAGTAAATAAAATATATTGGCTTGGCAAGGATTCTTGGTGAGTTTGTGACTAAAATACATTTAAAACAAGAGACTTTCTGGCCATACTTTAAGCTGTGAGTTCTAAAATCTTGTTTGTGTATATGAAGTGCAGTGTATATTCTTTCTGACCATAAAACACATAATCAGAGAAAGTGGAATGAAAGAAGAGCATATGCCATTTGTTGCATACCTTTCTGTAAAATAAATATTTTGAGACCTTGTCAGATATATTGAAATAGAGATTAGACAAGGCAGAAGAAAAATCAAGTGGAGGAGAGTAATAAAATGACTACCTTTATTTATCACAAGTATAATTTTGAGTCGGTAATTTTCCCCAGAAAAATAATATCCAGTATCTACAATTTGAAGTGACACAGTCCTGTTATATAACTTGGCTGAATGTGTAGGTCTAGCCCTTATTCATGTTGATTGACTGAAAAATGTATAGCCCATCTTCTATAAATAAAATAGTTGCATAATGACATCATCTCTCGAGTATTTTAAAAAATTAAGGATCTTGAGTATCACTGTTAAAGCCTTATAGTCTGAATGGAGAGCCAGCACAGCTCTTTAGATCAGGATTTATGTAATCTCTGAAGAGTGTTGGATAACAGCTTTATTGTCACTTCTTGCACTAACTGCAATTATCTTGTTGAGTTTCAAGGGCAGACTCACATACAACACAATGTTGTTATCTAGATTGGTGGTTAGCAGGAAATAACTATTAGAGACAGGCCATTCCAGTCCAGAAAAGGTTGCAACGAGGCATAGTTGGTCAACTGTAGGCCTAGTCATTGATGCCATGTGGGACATGAGTGTAGAGAGTAAAGAAGGTGACCTTGATGGACAGAGGGAAGCTCCATTACCAAGGCAACAAGAAGATAAACATTACTTAAACCCAGATGAGGGGGGAGGGTTACAAAAACATCTCAGACAGCTGTTCCCCTAATTCACATTAATAGAAAAAAAGGGAGAAGAAGCACATTCAGATTTGCAAGATTCAGTCTTGATACCAATCTTAAGATAGCAGTCTTCATAAAAGTAGCTTTAGGCACACATGGTGTCTGTTTCTTGGTCTTGGACCACCTTGTAGGGCTGACAGCAACAGGAGTACAGGAAGGCTGTACTCTTATTTCTTCAAAGAAAGTACAGCTGTATCTAGAGCAATCTTTCTCAGCCTTTTTACCCTGCAGGATTTGCAGATCTCAGGGAACTCCTGGATAAAAATTATACCTACAACTAGCATTGTGTGGTGCACAAAGTTAAAAAACATTTTCTTAATTATTTTTTTTTTCAGTCACAATTCTCACGGAACCCCTAGCAACCTCCATGGAATCCTAGTTGAGAAAAGCTGATCTAGAATCAGAGACCTACTCATTTCCTGAACCATGAACTTTCAGAGTGCCTTTGTCTTCTTGGGATTCAGTTCAGTTTATTGACCCTTATGCAGCCCACCATGTGTCTAAGTACTGGTCCAACTACTATAACTATTGTGAAATCAGATAGCGCCTAAATCTGAAAAATTAAACCTACCAATAGAGGTGAATAAATTAAACCTTCTGGGGGTTAACAGAGGAATAGAGCTGATAGGTAACAACATATTTGTGACACCCAATCGCAACACCCTAATAATTTCTTCCACTGGCTTCTTATAAATGTTGTTTTATTACCTTGTACAAATCAGTTAAAAAGTAGACTTCAGAGCCTTTTTAAGACCTCAAGAGACCTGGGACCAGAATGTTCATTTAAAAAACATGCATTTGTCTGATTTGCCCAGACAGATGCATGTTTTTTTTGTATCAGCTGCATTGATGTTGATTTTTTTTCTTCTTTGAAGTCAATGACCCGATAAACAGGAGCAGGCAAGAGAAAGAACTCCAATACTGAATTCACTCTTACAATATCTAATAAGTTTTAACATATTGATTTTACAGCCTTGAGTTAAAGTATTTATCATTTTAAAAACTGAACTACACATTGGAAATCCCAAAAAGCTCTGGCACCTCTACATGTTTCGGTTTGTTAGATTACTGGTGCTAGATCGTTACTATCACTTTATTGCGGAAATTCACCCAGGAAAAATAGGTGGCACTTCTAACCTGTTCTTCAGAGTGACATTTCTGTTTCTTTCATTTATCCTGTTGGTTGCTTGTAAGTATAACTGTAGCAGTAGATAATTTGTACACCTGGTTCTCCTCTCCTTTAACTACTTATTGGTTACCAGCTACTACTAGTTTTAGCCTGGCATCATTTTTTTTTTGGCGTGCTGGCAGTACTCTTCCCTGAACTTAAATCTATCCCTTTGCCACAGTCAATTGAGACTGCACTGATTGCAGGGTGCAGGCATTGGCACTAACAGCTTGTTGGTCATCACCCTGACATTAGCAACATTGTGGAGAATTCAAGAATTGCTAACTAAAACAGAGCCCCATGAAATGAGGACAAGATTTGCCTGCATTACATGACATTATTTATCATGTGCATTGTTTTCTCTGAAGAATCTTTTGTAAATTAGATTTGTGCAGTGTTTGTTTCCAAAGTAGGCAAAGACGGTTTAGATTCAGCACGGGCACCTTTGCTACATGTTTTTTCCTAGATTCTCATGGTAGTCATGGAGGCTCAGGACAATATTCATTTGAGTTCAGGAGGTGCTACAGAGGTGGTGGCAGAGTACTACATGTTGCCAATTTGTCACTGCGTCTGTAACACCTCTGAAATCAAGTGTTTTCCTGAGTCTGCACATCTTTGGAGATGGCTGGCTGTGAGGAGATGGTCCCTATTGAAACAGACAATATTATAACCAAAGCCTGGATAAGCAATCAAGGAGAAACATTAAGGGGCTTTCAGCAACAGGCCACATGACTAATGACTAGGGTGGGGGAACACAGTCTCCCTATCAGTGTATGGTCAAGGTTTCATTGTTGTTTAAGACTTGTGTTCTGTTGTATATATAATTGTTCTAATATGTATTACTTTTTCTGTTTATTTCCTTATTTATTTTGTTTTGCTTTTTGTATTACTTTATTATTGTATTTGGGTTTTTTTTCCCCTTTGTTATAGATTAAAAAGCATTTTTAAAGAGGTCACATGACTAAAGACTGTGGTAGAAAAACACATAGTGTCTGTATCAGGGGAGTAGACAAAGGGATTACTGGGCACTGTAGCTGACTGGCTTGGTCCCTAGTGCATCTCTAGAGGTTTTTTCAAGAGATCTTAGTCCCTCAGCTGACTTGATCACAACAGCAGACAACAGACGGGTGAGACATTCCCAATTCAGTGCTCCAAGCAGAGTGGTCAGATGGTCTCTGTAAAGGCCTGTTTAAGATAATACCAATACCAGTTATCCTAAATAAAGGTAGATGTTCACAAGGCATGAATGATTGAAATTGTTCAGTTCTTGTCCAGGAAATTGCAATTCTCCACAGTAGTGGAGAAAAATAAGGAACCTCCATGGCATCTCCTATAACACCCTAAGTCAAGTTCAGTTTCTAGACTCAGACTGGACACAGGAGCAATCCCTGAGTTCTCACTTCCAAGGCTTAGCAATAGAAAACATCTTGGCTTCCAGACACTCAGCAACCACCAAGATCTACCACAGGATTTGGCTTGCCTTTAATGGAGACTTGTGGCCAAAGCAGCAGGGTCTCTGAACTACTTTGGGGGGGGGCTGTTTTTCCCTTTCCTAAAGGGGCAATTCCAGTTGATGATGGGAAGAGAGATTAAGTCCTGGGCCTTTCCATTATGGAGTGGGACAAAACTTGATGCTCTCCCAACACCTGATTAACATTTACATGAAGCCACTTGGGGAGGTTGCCCATATGATGATGATACCCAACTTTACATCTTGACCTGAGACTTATGATGTAGTTGAGGTGCTTTTGTGGTGTCTGGAGACTGTTAGGGTATGTATGGGGAGGAGTAGACCTAGGCTCAATCCTAGCAAGAAAAGAGAGGCTTTGGGATCAGAAGCCATCAGATTCCAGGGATATTTCATCTGTAATTTTGGACAGGGTCATGCTTCACTGTACTGAACTGGTTTATAATCTGAGAAGGTCCTTCATGACTCACAACTCCTGCTTGAGGAGCAAGTAGTAACTTTGTCTAGGAAGACTTTGCACAGCTCCAACTAATGCACTAATTACAACCCTTCCTGGAAGAGAAGGTCTTACTTAAAATCATTCATGCCTTGGTTACCTCTCATTTGGTCTGTTGCAACACACTGTATATGGGGCTGTTCTTGAAGACCATTAGGAAGCTACAGTTGGAACAGGTCAAATAGTTATGGATGCATCTCTACATTGAGAACTGCACTGGTTACCAGTTGGCTTCTGTGTGTAATTTGAGATGATGATTGTCATCCTTATGGCTCTCTATGATATAAATGTCTTCAGGACTGTCTCCCAATTATATTTGCCCATCCAATACCATCAGAAAGAGTAGACTCCATGTGGTTTCCCTCTCTCAGGGAATGCCATCAGAAGGGACTGGGGAAGTGGACTTTCTCAACTGCTCCTCCCCTTCTCTAGAACAATATTCTTCCTAAAGCCTGACTGGCCCCAACCTGCTAGGATTCAGAAAACCTTTCAAAACCTGGCTCTTTCAGGAGATCTTAGGAGTGAATATGTGGTAAGAATGTTTTTGTTTAACTGAATTTTATTTATTCTCTGATGCACAGTGGATGTTGTTATCAGTTACTGTATAATGGTTCTTATTGTATTATTTTTTAAATCAAGGTTATGTATGTGGGATATATAAACCATTTAGAGTCATCAATGGCTGAAGCTGCATATAAGCCTAGTAAACAAAATAGCAAAGGTTGCTTTTTTTTTTTCCTATTACCACAGAGAAAGCTACCGATGGCTCCTTACAGAACGAAGATTGGGCTCTCAACATGGAAATCTGTGACATCATTAATGAGACAGAAGAAGGGTAAGGGAATGAGTACTGAATAGGGAGTCATTAGAATAGTCATTATCTGGATGTGCTCACTGATAATTTTGCATTAGCCTACACTACTGTGCATGCACTTTTTGAAAAACTGGCAGACACACCCAGTTCAGGAAGAGCGATCTGTGTACTGGAAAGCAGTGATATAAAACATAAAAGCTGGGTCTTGTGACACTTTTCAGAAAAGAGCATGCTGCTCAGACACTCTATTTGTTATCATCAGCTGCCAAAAATGCCATTATCATAGTCATAATTCTTTGCACAAGGGTAAAATCAATCTCATACTCTTTTCCTGACCTCTGAAAAAATAAAACTATTCTTAATTCTTTTTCTTAAGGTATTTTTTCTTTATAGTCCTCTTTTTTTCTCTCCATCCCCCCTCCCCCCTCTCTTTTCCTTTGTTCTTCCCAAAGGGCTTAATACCCTCAAGACTGGTGATTGAGGAGATTGGAAAATCTCAAATGATGCATTCATTGTTTTGATTTTGTCAGTTTCCAGTTGGGGTTCCATTCTCAGGAAGGAAATATTACAGAATGAAATTCTGTAATAAAATCAGAGAGATAGAACACAAAGCAAGGTGTCAAGGTTCTATCTCTCTTTTAGATGACTCTAAAAGTCATCTTTTTTTGCTTTAAATATCAGTTTTCCATTCTCCTTATGGAAATACATCTTGGATAAATCAGCACAGAAGCATTTAGAAGTCTGAGGAATGCCAAACACATCCTTGCTGAATCCTATAAATAACTCCTGGTAGGTTTTCTGGTGACCTTATGCAGGACAAGAACATCATGTAATGTGTGTGTTCCACATTGCTAACTTTTCTAAATAAATTTTCAGATTAACCTACACATCCGCCCCTGCCCCTGGCTCCACTCACTTTCTCCTTTGGCTCTGTCCATTTTTCTCAATGTGTCCCTCATTCCTCCTTTGCACAGAAAATTTCTGTGGGTAGACTATGTTCCCCTGTCATTGTGCTCAATAGGTATTCCTTTCTAGCATGTTGAAGGTAGAAATCTTTCCTCTCACTGCAAACCAGCCACTACTGTAAGAATTTACTTGGGCATAATGAGAGCAGATACAGAAATAACACTTTTTTCTGTGCATTATTTGTGTGCTAGCTAGGGAAGAGACGAGGAACTCAAAAGACATCTCAGTTTTAGATCTGTTAATATTAATTCTTTCTTTCTTTAAATATTCAAATGACCTACCTTCCCTTTTTGGTGTCTCATTTTATTTTCAGGTATCATCAGGTTTCTTTCAGATTTTAGGAATCTCCTTTCCTTTAGTTCAAGTGAATAAAAATGTTTGGGGGGGGGGGAAGCCACTATTGTGAAGAAGAGGCAGCTCTTTTTGTGCTTTGATTGTGTGGTTCCAAGGTATAATTAAAGAAGAATGAAGCTGATTCTGAGCCTTATTGCCTGGCAAATTGCAAGTATATATTTTGTCTCTCTTCCAATATTACTGCTTTTATAATTTTGCCTTTGCTGCCGTTAGGCCCAAAGATGCCTTTCGAGCTATAAAGAAAAGGATCGTGGGGAATAAGAATTTCCATGAAGTGATGCTGGCTTTGACAGTGAGTATGGTGCAGATTTCTCAGTTACATAAAGTTATCCCTTCTCCTTCTCTCTCACCTTTGCTTTTTACATCTGTTGGTGGGGTATATCTTTCCAATAAAGCTTTGTTGACAAGGTGAGTGAAGGGCAGTCCTGCTCCATTAGCAGGATGCCAGCAAGGGAGAAAGCTGTTGTAGTAAGTGTCTTATCTCAAGGATATCTCTGGAAAAGAGATGTGAACTCTAACCTAGAATACTAAGTTTTCATTTAGATAATGGGAAGCACTAAAAGTTTTTTTGAAAGTATGTCATAAATGTTGTCTGTCTTAGTTGAAAGCAAGTGCAAATACACTAGACAGTAAAAGAATAATTTTGTTGGCCAAATGTGAAAGGACCATACCTTTCTGCTTGCCCTGTGGACACCGAGGCCATTTTTTGCAACCAAGGAATTGAGTCATTTGAGATTGGTGCTATGTGGGTATTTCTAAAAAGCTAGCTGTTGTGTGATCAGGAAGTGAAAAGGCAAAGTGCAAGTGGACCAGAAATAACAACCCTTCACCTATTATTTTTCTTTTCTGTTTTAGTTCTGTTTTTATAGTTTTTAATGTTTTTAATAATCACTACATAAGGGTTTTATGTAACAATTGTTTATATACTTATTGTTTTATGGAACTGTTGTACACTGCCCAGAGTCACTTTTTGTGAGATGGGCAGCCATATAAATTTGATTCATAAATAAATAAATAAATAAATAAATAAATAAATAAATAAAGCAAGCTTCTAGTGCATCTTGTTTGGCTTTGCAGGTCCTTGAAACATGCGTCAAAAACTGTGGTCATCGCTTTCACATACTGGTTGCTAGCCAGGATTTTGTTGAAGGTGTATTAGTACGAACCATCCTTCCCAAAAACAATCCTCCAGCCATTGTACATGACAAGGTGCTGACCCTCATACAAGTGAGTGCATCTCTGTAAATCTGCCTGTCTTTCAGAGGGTTTCCAGTTATGAGAACAGACCCACAGTTACTTTGCCTAAACCACAAGCCCAGGTTATTTTCATGGCAGTGTGTAATCCATGTTTATTAAATAAAAGTAAACTTCCTATCCATACTTAGCTTCCTGAGGACAGCTGAAATCTGAAACCATTCTGTACCATGTAGATGTATTCAATTTACATAATATCATACCTTATTTTGCATAATTCTGTTACTGTTCATGGAAAGAGACAAAATGCAGGCAGCAGGCTGAAGCTATCTTTTTAACTCATGAAAATCTTAGCTATCCTTCTGCTTCTTGAGATCTCAGCTAGAGTAGCTTACAAGTTGATAAATGTATGCTTACAATCACGGGGGCTAGAAACTTAACATTTTTTAAAAAATCAAAATCAGGTTTTCCAACAGCTCCATGCTGGTAGTGTTACCGTATGTCTAGTATTTATCAGTTCATTCCAGTATTTAGACTCTGACCACCCCATGCAGCCAAAAACCTAAAAAAGAGCTAAAATGTCCAGTACTCCATACAGAATGTTCCAATCTGGTAACTGTTTTCTACATATGATACAAAGACTCTGCTTTTCTTGCATACTTAACAGAATTATAATGTTCACACTTTTTAAAAATCACACAGGAGTTTAAAAATGAAGAATATGCATTATAATGATTTTCCTGTCGTTCTAGTCCTGGGCTGATGCATTTCGTAGTACACCAGACCTGACCGGGGTTGTAACTGTTTATGAGGACTTGAGGAGAAAAGGCCTGGAGTTTCCCATGACAGATCTAGATATGCTATCACCCATCCATACACCACAGAGGGTAAACGTTTAATGCACAATAATTCTTTATTTGCATTACAAATAATATAACAAAATATTATATGAATAATATTATATGAAATATATCTTGGGAGTATTTAGAAATAGCATTGTTGTTTTGTTCCCAATTTTTTTCCCTTTCCAAACTGATACATGTTATGAAAAAAATGAAAGAGCTACATGGTAAGATATATCACGTGCAGTTAAAGTAAGCAGATCCTTTGGTTTCAAAGGGGACTTTATTGCCATCATAACTGAAGACTAAGAACTATACAGAATTCAAGAAACAGGCTCCATAACCACTATAAGGCTTCGTTGAGAACATTTCCCCAAAAAGCACACAATCTATTGAAAATCTGCTTTGTTTTTAAAAGCAATATATTTCATCCTACTGGATTCCTTGCTGCTCATGCAGAGAAATGGAAAGAGCCAGGCTGCAATGACTGCTTTGGAAGCCGTAGAAAAACATTAAGGGGAATGGGAAGTGTTTTGAGCTGCAGGCACAGCTCATTACTTAAAGAAAAAGAAAACACCATAACAGTGGGTAAGAAAAACAGCATATAACATACCTAGGCAGATTTTTTTTTTTTTTGGTAGAAATAACGGAACTACTTCCTTTCCTTTATGGATTCCTCTTTAGACTGTATACACATCAGATTCCCAGTCAGGAGTTACTTCATCAGCAGATTCTCCTCAAACAATTGATTCAATCCTGCACCCTGTATCCTTACCACAAGCTCCGGAGACTGCCACTGATGCCTCTATCACACCTACGCCAGACCAGGTAAGAGCAACATGAACCATTCCCTTCCCTATATATAAGAGAGTTTCTTGTTGAAGGCCCCGCTTTTTATTTTATTATGGCAAGTTTCTAAGTTGTTGAAAAAGGAATCCACGCACCTAATGGACCAGTGTCAAAGAACCTGTTTGTCTGAAAGAGCAAGCAGTGTGTATAACAATCTCAAGCAGATGATTTAGGCAGGATATAAAAATTCCTTTCTTTCCTGGGCTGATGATAAACTCTCTGCAATCCTACATGCATCTAATCGTGTTAAGTTTATAAAACATTTGTCCTAGAGGAGGATAGTTTGTCTTTTTTGCATTCCAGATGTTCAGTATAAAATCATTACTTCTGGGCAGAAGCCAGAGGGAGAGGGAGAATAGCCAGGCTCCCATGTATTATTCAGGAATAAGCCCACATCCATTAGTACATACATCACACCCTTATGCACCTTTTCATAACTTCTCTGCAAGGTTTGAAGTGGTGCCTCTTAGCTTCTACTTTTAGACCTTAGCCATTAGGCTATACTGACTATAATGATATAACATTGGGGACAAAATTCCAGTTGCCTATTCTGGCATGTAAGCCAAACTCATCTCATGTAGCTGTTTGCATCTGTCTGACCACAGAGTAGAAGAAGTCAAGATAGAAGAGGAGTATGTCTTGTTAACTCAGAATCCAAAAATAATTCAAAGAGATTCCTGGAAATCTCCAACTAATAAAAAATTGCAGGAAGCAGGAAAGTACTGAGCTCATTTTTGCTTAAATTATCACACCTAGCAGAATAGGGAAAACTTGATAGGCAAGAGCAACCAGACTATACTTGCTAGATGAACTATTGGTTTGACAAGGTAACTTCCTCATTAGTAGTGGAATGCTTAGAAAATGTCTCTTTGTTGTTTTCAGATTGGAAAACTACGCAGTGAATTGGAAGTGGTGAATGGAAATGTAAAAGTAATGTCTGAGATGTTAACAGAATTAGTGCCAGGACAAGCTGAACCTTCTGACCTTGAACTGCTCCAGGTAGGAAGTGCTGAAATGTGAAGTCTACTATTGTTGTGTGTAGGGATTTCATTCACTTTAACCTAGCAAGCACTGAGATGAGCTCTTAACCCACCCCCAAAACCTCTCTTTCGGATTCATGACCTGAGTTGACTTAGATTTTTAACTGATTAGTTACTAATAGCTGCTTCTTAACCTAGTTTATTTGGTTCTGTTCTCATTTGTATCTTCCTCCTGTGGGTAGGAACTGAATCGGACATGTAAAGCGATGCAGCAGCGTATATTGGAGCTGATTCCCCGCATCCTCAATGAACAGCTAACTGAGGAGTTGCTCATTGTCAATGACAACCTCAACAATATTTTCCTGCGCCATGAACGGTATTCCTGAGATCATCTTTCCCTTTCCCTTGTTCTTTCCCTCCTCTTTCATAAGCAAAGCAGCCTGTTGTCTTTCACTGAAACTATCTCATTGTTTCTCATAGGTTTGAACGGCTCCGATCTGGCCAGCCTGCAAAGGTAATTTGGCATTTAATTAGTTTGTTTGAATTACATCCCACCTTTTCTCCAAGAGCTCAAGGCAGCATACATTGCACTCCCTTTACCAATCTGTCCTCACAGAAGCCACCCAGAGAGGTAGGTTGGGCTGAAAGAGTAAGTGGCCTAAAGTTACCTGTGAATTTCCATGGCTGAGGGTGGACTTGATCCTGGGGTTTCCTGAACCTAGTGCAGTTCTTTAACCACTAAACCACTCTGGCTCTCATTTCTTTCCTTCAGAGTATGCTTATGAGGTCATACCACTAATATTGCTAGAGAACAAGATAAAATAAACAGTGGCTAGAGCAGTATATGTGACCTTATATTGTATAGTCCTTCCTGGCTTCAAATATTTGTAATTGGGCCGCTTAAAAGTTGATAAAGATGTTAAAAGTTCTAGTGGTAATTTGCTGGTGAACTTACTTCCATTTGGACATGCCAAAATGTTTCCAGTGCATACCTAATTCAGGATGCACTTCAGTTTATGATACATAAAACTTAACTAAGTTGTTTCATTGACTAGACATAGAGAAGGATTCTAGGAGGATTGTTCATTATGTCAGCCTGCCTGGTTGGACTGACCCAAAACTAGGGCAACAGCTGTGGTTCAGTGGAAAAGTTTGTACACTCTGGGCCAAGATCCCAGATTCAGTTCTTGGCTTTTCCAGACAGAAATGGAATGGACTTTTGCCTGAACTTCTGGAGAATGACAGCCAGTCAGTGTAGGCAATAGTTTGAGATGGTAAAGAATGTTTTCATCTCTTCCCAGAATCATTTTCCTTCATTTGTGTACATTACTAGGTTGGTTGTCATTTTTGTCATATGCTTTCATACTATTCTTTGATAGCATGACATAAATTTGAACTCCAGGGAGCCCCAAGAGTTTTATTGATTGCATATATCCAGAAGTAAGGGGCCTGTATACTGCATGCATGTATTCATTCATTCATTCATTCATTCATTCATTCATTCATTCATTCATTCATTCATTTTAAAGCTAACAGTGATGAAGTATTTCCTTCTTCTCATGCTTTAAGTTTGATAAAATGTTGGTCTAAAAACCACAGAAATGTTTTCAATTCTTCAACTGGTTTTCGGTCCCAGTAGAACCTACTTTGGAAGCATGAAGTCTATCATGTATTGAAGCCCTAAGATGCCCAGGAAATGCTTGTGTGAGAATTCCTTTGAACATTGGAAGGCCTACATGGCTTTTTCTTCATTTTTTTTCTAGGGTTAGAACTGTAACCCTAACACCCTTGAATCTCCAATTAATAGAAGACAGCATTTTAAAAAGCTAAACAAATGAGAGCTGCTTGAATAGATTGCAAATTTAACTTGACTGTTTCATGTTGCAACTTTTCATTCATAGCACCCCTTTCTCAGGCTTCCATATCTTTTGTTAGATTTCACCAGCAAATCAGAACACACAATCTGTGAATTGGGAGACATATTTTGAAAGAAATGCTGTGTTCCTTGACAGTAGTCCAAGATTAGCAAAATACGTTTTCTTTCTTTTCCAAGCAACAAAATGATGCAGAAAATGCAAACAATCCGGTTGACATGGGACCTAGTATCACATCAGCAGAAAAAGATCCTGAAGTTGTCAATACACTTTCATCTCAGCTTGCAGGAATCGGTAAGTACCGTAGTTGGATTCGTAGGGCTATGTAATTCCTTGTTTTTTCCCCCATTCAGATTCATAATTCTGGCCACTTGCCAAGCTCTCTCTAGTCTTTATACATTTTGCTTCTTATTAAAAAAGAAAAAAATCCAACATCATTTGAGCATAGGCTAACAAAAGCAGTGATAGGTAGATTTACTGACAAATTATTAAAAACTTGATTGCCACATTTGGCCAAATGTATGCTGTGTAGAAGTCACAGTAGATAACAATCTTTCTGATACTTTCTTCATCTGAGAATTTGCCCTCTCCCTGCAGGAAAGCTTGATTCTGCTTTTTCAGACTGGTAGGTTTATTACTGGTAGGTAATCATCAGACATTTTTAACATGAGCTGGATGATTTCTTGCTGTCTTTTGCCTTGTAGATCTAGGTTCTAGCAGTGTCAGTGCAGGTTTGCAGTCCCTCAATAATTCTAGCAAACTGGAAGAAGAGTTCGATATGTTTGCACTGACCCGTGGGAGCTCCTTAGCTGAGCAACGCAAAGAGTAAGTGAATGTACCCACTATATTAAATTGGGCAAAAATAATGAATACTGTAAATTTTTCAAACTAAGAGGTTATATGCACATTTTGGTAAATTAGTATATGTCTGTATTCAGATTTTACTGGTGTCAATTTGATTTATATCTACACAGAATTTTGATGTTATTTTTTAAATGTAGACATAATTTCAAAAGTTTTCGGTTATCTGCCCTTCCGCATTTTTTCATGCAGATAAGCAAGTTGTTAATCCCAAATTCTGAAGTCCTGCAAGTAAAAAAAAATGGACAAACCTGGAGACTGATATCAAGGATGCCAATATAATGGAGAATATAAGTTTTGAAAATGATGTCACTTGACTCAAGTAGCATCATTGTTGCTATGCTGTATGTGAAGTTGAAATTCTTAGTTTTGATGTCAATTTGGGAATGATGGGTTCCCTTAGCAGTGTATTGCCATTCAGACTTTGATTTCCTCTTTGATGATAGACTACTAAATTTCAGGTATTGACTCCTTAAATGTTGAATACAGTGATACTAAAAAAAAAAAAAACATATTTTATGCCTTATTATGCCCTAACAATAATGCTAACATGGATTTGGGGATTAGATTGTTGAGATTTCAAAAGACTGTTTGTTGTTCTACTCAGGAGAATTAAGACAAACCTGAGCTGTAATTAGCACATTCCTCTCCTCCACTCCCTTTCCCTCTTGGCATTTTCTAAATCTCTAATGGTTTCTGTGAACTGCAGCAGCAGTAAAATGGAAGGTTTGTTTTTAATAGTGTGGGCCAAATGAAGAGCAGATTTATGAATTAGTGCAGTCTAGCAAGGTAACTGTCAACCAAGGCTGATGCTTTAGCTACTGTTGTGTACTGTCTCTCACAAGGGCTCATGCTAATAGCCCCTGTGAGAGACATGATGTTCTCATATTCCCTGTAGTTTAGGTGCTCTAGGATAACCTAGAGAGGGATTTTCAAGAGTCTAAGGATACTTCCCTCTTCCTGCCTTTTGAAAATAAACTTTGCATACATTAAGAGGATATTACACTTACATTTTAGGTCACAAGTGTACAACCTGTAGACACTAGGATGACATGCAGATCCCACACACCATAGACTGAACTTCTAATAGGATAGAATAAAAATTTTTTAAATACATCAGAGTAATCATAGTAATTATATTTAATTTAAATTTAATTGTATTTTGCTTTTGTCCTGACCACTCCACTTTTTGGAGTGCAGCTGTTAGCATGCCAGTCAAAGATCAAGTGAGGCCCTTGAGCAAGAAACGGAGTGCACCCAACTTTAGGTCATTTACCTTGTTTGTTTATCGAGTAGCAGTAATGCAGATTTTCTGCAGGCTGATATGCAAGCTAAAAGGATGAGCTGTCCCCACAGTGTATGGCTGAGCTAACACTTCTCTGGAGAAACCCGTTCTGCTTGTTTGTCAGAAAGTTCTTTGATTTTAATTTTCTCACATATTCTTAATTACTTGTCTGTTAAATAAAAGTTGAGTCAGCTCTTCACTGTATAAAGCAACAGAAACTTTCTGCAAGAGGGCAGGAAAAATCGTCAGGCTATTTTGACACAGTCTACTGAGATATTCCTGGTGCAAACCCATGAATTCACCAAATGGCTTTAAGCCATCCCACCCTCCTTCGCTTTCTTCCGAAACCTAAATCTGTATAATAGGAATAATGGCAGTACTGACCCACCCTGCAGAATGCCTATGAAAATTACATGAGGCATTTTGTGTACCAAAAAAAGCATGATATGAATTCTAAGCACTATTCATCTGGGTTTAGTCTTGCAGTGATATTTGGCTCATTCTGAGGGTCCCACCCAGCTCAGTAATTCCAAAAAACACAGCTGTGTGCTGGCATATTTTCAGACTTGATAGCGTAAGATTGGAACAAGTCTTTGAGTGACACTGGTGCTAATAGAAACAGATGTTTGTTATGGGCATGTGCACTTATGCCCCCTCCAACACTTAACAAAATAGGCTATGTGCCAGTAGGCTTCTAGACACCACTGACACAGCTCTTGCAGCCACTGAGAAGCTCGTAATGCTTGACGCGGAGAGTCCCTTCTCAGAGACCCTGCCTGGTCCACAGATGAGGGGAAGGCATACCAGAGGAAGAATACAGACGCCCTGTGCATATACCAGGCTGCAGGAAGGGTACTCCCAGCCTGCCTGCTAATAATGGAGTATGAAGTAGAATAGGGAACTGTATGGAAAGAAAGCAGAGAGAGTGAACAGCACCAGAAGCAGCTGAAACCTAATCTCTTGACATACACTCTGGCTGATCTTTTCCCACTCTGGATAATTGCAGAAGAACTGGACAGCATATTTTCTCCAGCACAACTTGATCCTCCTATGATTGAGGCAGGTGTAATCTTTCTGATAGAGGCAGCTTCAATTTATTCTGCTTTCTCCAACTGGACTGGTTGCCTCCTATTTTAACTTTCTTGCCAGCAAACCAGATTGGGATTATCTATTCTACAGCCCACCTCCACTTCCACATACGCTTGTGCTTTTCTTTTCCTGTGCTTTGACTGTCAGATCAAGATACCTTTACTGGAGTTGGGCTTGGATGTCTTTCCAAAACGTCATGAACACCTGCATGCAGAATTTCTGGCAACACCTGAAGCCATTCCTGCCTTTCTGCCTTATTAGTGGTATGGTGGTGGCACTCTACTTCATCATTGATGCCATTGTGCACAGCGGGCCCTTCACTGACAAGCACTTCTTTGAAAAGTTTGACCAGAGGTGGCCCAACCCCCTGGCCGCAAGAGGGAACAAGTCCCAGTGATTATGGGTGGGACAGAGATATGGTTCGGGGGAGCTCACTTCTGTGGCAACATCATCCAAGACTGCATTGGTCTTCCTATGTAAGAAATAATTTATGTAGGTAGAATGTGGGCAAAAGGCAGGTCTGGGTGTACTTTAGAGTGAGTAGCAAAAATAAGTTATTTTTGTCAAAAAGGTGTAACTGTATGAAACTGTTTCTATGAGATGATGTTCAGCTACAAAGGCATTGCAATAGCTATATGCATTGATTAATCTGGAAAAATTATATTTATCTAATTTTACCTGCAAAAGAGAGCATGTAATGTGTGTTAAGCTCATGCACTGAAGTGAAATATAGGTACATGTAAAACTATATGCATATGCAATTATACACTGAGTGCATATAAAACTATATTTAAATGAAAGTACCTTATTCCCTCTTCCTACGAAGCTGTACTTAAAGTAATGTTTGCAAAAATCTCAAAAAGCAAGCAGACAAGTGAATCAGATTGCCAGGGGCAGGGCACAGCAGGTTAATACCTATTATAATTCTTTAACTTTTGCCATAACTGCCAACATCAGAACAACTTCTCTAAGATATCAAACTGAAAGATAACATGCAAGACTGTTTTATATGCTTAGTGTATACAGGCTTCAAAAATTACATTTTTCTCAGAACAGAATATAGATTTGATTAGAGGATCAGCTTAGATTTTCAAACAAGCAGATGTATGGGAGGGGTTTTGGTTTTTTTTTAAGTTTAGTACTTAAGCTGGGGTTGGGCTGAGAAGACTCAGAATCATTGGTTGACTTACAACCTTTCACCCATTCTCAGCCCAATCCACCTCAGCACTGTTGTAATAAAATTATATTTTCTAAAATTACTGTCTCTAAATCCCAATTTAGCAGCAACAAATTGGTTCTCCATCAGTGGTAAACTATTATACCAAAATAAAGTTTGAGCTGACCAGGAATGCATTTTTGTGTGGAATGACTAGGCACTCTATTTAGTTCTGATATTCAACAGATATAGAAACTCAGAATTCTTTAATTCTAGTCAAAAATAAAACAGATTCTGCAGGCGTGCAGTCTGACTTTTTGTGCTTAATCACATTGGAAAAATATATAGTAAACTTCACTGAAACTATAATTGAATATTGATTAAATTTTAGAATGAAACAGTTGCAGCTGGCTCTCTTACTATATATGCACATAATTCAATATGCTATAGGGAGAGAAATCTAACTATCAAAGATTTTGACTTAAAATCTTTGCTGCATCTTAATGCTTTGTTCACTTTATTTTTCCACATCAGTGCTCAAGGTGCTTTACAGCCATTCTAATTTGCAGCAGCTACAAAAACAAAATATTATGCTAAGCCCAGTAAAAATAATAACATAGATAAATAATTCACACCAGTAGCATTGGCCAATTATAACTACAGTCTGGCAAAACATTTTTCACGTGCCTCCTTAAAAGATATTAATTTAAATAGCTGTCATTGAGAAGGAGATTTCATAGCTGCAACACCAGAGTTACAATGAAAATCCTGCAGAGAGTAGGGACATTTCTGCAGATTTTCACATGGGCTTCTCAACATACACAGTAAGCCATTTCTTAAGGTGTGATGGATTCTACAAACCTGGGATTGATGGGAGGTTAAAGGAATATATTACACTGAATTCTCAGGAATTTAAGAATATCGACACTAGCACTTCAGTGTTGCTAGAGTCTTATTAACCTTATTAATGCTGTCTTTCCAAATGTATTTCAACAATTGCTGATAATTACATTTAAGAAATTCTTTACAAACTCTAGGAGTCAGCAGTTTTGCCATGGAATTTGGGCAGAGGTTGGGGACAGTATTTCAATCACTCATACATACAGGCATACACACACACACACACACACACACATGCACACACACAACACACACACTTAAACATAGGAGAAAGCCTGCAGGTTCTCACATTTGCCAGAAGCCATTCTGAGGATGTCCAGCAAAATTGCGGACTTATATAAGTAATGCATCTGAGATTTTTACTGAGATTACCGAGAATGAAATAGTTGTTTTCCTGATTGATACTTTACTTCTAAATATCTGGTGACTAAACTCTCACAGTAAAATCGTGAATCCTAACTTTTATTTATAGGTATTTGTCTGCAACTATCTGCAGCTATTTTTTTTTCCAGTCGTCTAATGCAGTTGATTTTGCTATTTTATTTTATCCTCAAATGACCACAGCTAATCAGTATCATGGATTAAATCTAATGAGATCATGGATTTAGCCAATTAGATTGTGCTGATGTCACCAGCCATTCCTAGAAAATTAGAGAAGACATGATGCAGGAGCCTATAAAAGGAGACAATCGAAGGGGAGTTTATTGATTTTGACATTAAAATTTTCACTAAATTCCTTCTCCCTCACCTCCTTTTTTTTTTCATTTGGCCCTACTGCCAACATAAGTACATGCATGTGCCAGTGTTTACCAAATTATGGGTGGTCTCTCTCTCTCTCTCTCTCTCTCTATATATATATATATATATATATTCTGGTGAACCAGAAGTCAGATCCCATAGGTCAATCTCAATATATATATTTTTTTCTTCAGAGAAAATGTTACTGTACTTAGGAACATTCAAACATTATGCGTCAAATGAGTAAGGAAGAGTTTAGAAGAAAATGGCAACCAATTCGAACATTTAATGTAATTTATATAATACATTATCTGTGGGGGCTGACTTTTGGTATACTCTGTGTGTGTGTGTGTGTGTGTGTGTGTGTGTGTGTAAAGCACCCCCACCCTCACCCTGAAAATATGGAACATTTATCTATGCTTTAGATAAAATGCCAAAACCCACGTCTGTTGGATAACCTGGTTTTCTCTTTCAGGGTGAAGTATGAAGACCCTTTAGCCACAAAAGGACTAGCTGGAGCCTTGGATGCCAGGCAACAGAATGCAGGAGCAGTGAGTAGCTATCTATCAAACTCTTCTGTGTATAATTGAAGAGGCTTATCCTGCCTATCCAATACATCAGGTGCCTCCCCATATGTACCACTGATCTCCAACCAGTATGGTCAGTCAATTTTGCTGGGATTATGTGAAATGTAATTTAACATAACTGAAGGATGCTAAATTTGGAGAGATTGTAGTAATTATCTTACTTAATAATACAGCTTTCTGTATATTCTTGTATAAGTTCCACTCCAAAGTAAGAGAACATACATCTACCCTTGGTGAGGGTACGTATATGAATTCTAACTGGGGACAAAAATGTTTTCAGTATTCAGTTCATTTTCATGCCATTTTTTCATGGTATAGTTCCCAAAGCAGTTCATAATAAATCACATATAGACTACTTACATACATTCAGCAATAGTACAAACCAAAGTTCCATAGTAATGCATAACATTAGGTCATATAGTTCATTAAAATTCAATCCAATTGGAAAAACATAACCCAAATATTTAAAAACTGGTTCTAAGAAGTTCTGAAGTATAAAATATTTCAATCATAATAATACTTCAGCTCCATAATAAAGTATCTTGGAATTATAACACACAGCAACTATAAGAAAAGATAATACTTTCTTATACATAATGCAATATGTACCTCATCAACATTCTTCAATCAATTAATAGTTAACAAACTCCAAAAATATAATAGTAAAAAATAATAATAATAATCTGCAAAAGAGAATGAGTCCTATGCATTCATTCCAGGATAAATACAGTCAAAATGGTAAGCAGTTCTCCAAATATATCACCTTCCTGCGGTTGAATCCACTTTACAGTAACACAGTTTTCAAACATAGTTCATCTGAATCAAGCTTCTTTCAAAGTCTGGTTAGACCTCTAAATAGCCATTCTTCTTAACTCAGTCCTTAAGAACAAAAGGCACTGTTTCTCTGTTCGGTTCTTTCTGTTCTATAGATAATTCAACCTTCTTTTGTAGGCTTGGGCCCTAAGCTCCTTCAATTTCTTTAAAAAAATGGCAGACAGGAGAGAAGTTCCCCCACATTCTTTTATAGAGGAAGGGGATAGTTTCCCTACTGAGAACATTGTTCCCTGCTCTCCTCATCACCCACGTTTTCTATCCTCTTTGAAAGCAAATTTTCTCTTAACTAGCTGGAGCCAGGTGCTTCCACTGATGGGGCCCCGATTACAAACTGGATGATGCGCCAAGGAATGGTGAGAATGTATCGCTGCTGGGGAAGATTTTAAAAAGCGCTTAGAGGATATTAAGCAAATTGTGGGATAGATTGAACATTGTGTGGGGACAACAGCAGACAAAGTGACACGGTTAGGTTTGAAGCCAAGGAACCTCTTCTTGAAAATGCCACATTCCAGATTCTACCTGGGTAGAAGAAAAGTTTTTACAGTAGCCAAAGTAAAATGTTTTATAGTTTTTTTAATTTATTCCCATCATCTTTGTAACATAAAATGTGTAACTCTGAATATGTTTGCATTGCATTGCAATCCAGAGATTAGACAAGAAAAATCCATTATTTCTTGCTGACTACCTTCATGATAGAGATATTTCCCTTGTTGCAGGGAGGAGTGAGAAGGAAGGATCATATCATGAAGGATCATGAAGTAACCATATCTTATGGCTCCATATCAAGCAAGGATTTGTAGTTTCACATAGCACATATATAGTTATACAGTGGCAAGTTCTGCTTTGCCACTTCTTTTGATTTTTTTCCATAGCACCCACTTTCAGGAAAAAATACATACACAAACACCAGAATCAATATCAGGCTGTCTGTCATTTTCATCCTGAGATTCCATGTTCAATACATGCCATTGAACCAATCAATAACATCAACCCAGGATTGGAACTGCACTGCTTTGTCCAAGCTGAACCCATACACTGTTCTGGCTTAGTTTTATAACTCTCATTTCCATCTGTTCCAGAAAGCTCTTCTGAGGGTAAAATAAATTATGGCTACATTTTTCTTAATAATGCCTTTCTGCTCCACATTTTCAACCCAAATTTGATTTGGACAGGAGAGAAAAGAGCTTTATCTTGGCAGAGGAAAGAGAGTAAGGTAGAAATAGCTCAGACTTTTGGTACTGTCTTTAAAGCCAGATTGTGTTATTTCTTCCCTTGGGCTAGTTGGCTTCTATTAGTTTGGATTTGTTCTGTTTGTTTTCCAATGGTTTTGTAAACAAAAGCTCAGTACTTTTTCTGCCTTAATGGTCTTTGTGTCTTTAACTTTGAAAATTTCTTAATTTAAGAATCTATATGTTGAGACCACCTACTTGCTTGCTTTTGAATAATGAAAAGCAAAATAAATATTGTGGAGTCCTTGGGGTTCTCGGAGCTTGGTTGTTTTCTTGCAGACATTTCGTTACCCAGCTAGGTAACATCTTCAGTGCTAGAAGGGAGC